ATCATGTTGGAGTTGTTAAAGTTGATAGCCCCTCCTACATTTGGTTGAATTCATTATTCTAACACAAATTTGTTGTTCTTCAATAATTGATAGATTTCTTTTAACCAATAAAAATATTAACAAAGTAGTTATTAAATAAATAAGTAAATAGAAAAGTAGTAAAAAATTTAATAGATTATTCATAAATAAGACCATAACGGGATAAGTTTCATCATCTAGAAGGAAACAACCTGATTTACTAGATAAGACTCCTAAATGACTGTTCAGTAATATAGGAGGTACAAGGTGCAGTGTCAACCAAGAGGTTTGCCTAGAAGCAACCATCCTTGAAAGAATGTGTAATAGCTCGTTGATTGAGCGCTCTTGTGCTCAAGATGGACGAGACTACGTAATCTACCGAAGCTATTGGACAAAAAATACAATCGATAGGAGGAGTGTTTGATCTTAGAGAAAAGCACCTGTGCAAGGAATTGTGGACAAAACAAAAAGGAGAATGTCAGACTTGAGTACACAAGCGTTAGTGAGAGTCCAATGCGTAAAAAATCTTACAGTTCGTCTACAAGATTAGTCGTGATATGTTGAGAGAGAATGTGGTAGAAACAAAAACATAGGAAATGAGTTACCTACTCTTAACTCTCAAAGCTAACCCTTTCTTTCCAAATTCTATCGAATCTCCCGAAATAAAATTTGAACCTATCGGGGATTCTTCTAACAAATATTTCAGCTAGGAATTTAAAAAAATGGTTAAAAGTAGAAGTAACATTATAGAGGAAGAGTTGTTTTAATGTGTGTTCGAGGCATTATCCATCCATAAATGTAGAGGACACATAGTGGATTGTCAAGAGAGTGGGTTATCTCATTAAAAAGAAATTAGGGATTAATCTTGATTATCACACGACTGCGACAACCACCGCTTTCTTTGACTAATCAAACACATCAATCATAAACCTCTTGTCAGCCAATTAGATTTAAGTGCGTTTAGACTAATTTTTTAGGATAATTTTGAATAATTGAAAATTAAGAACCCAGAACCCAACAACTAATGGGCTTTGCTATGCCGCAGCGATTAATGGGCTTTGCCGTTTCATCGGGCTTGGAGTTTACAACCCATTTTCTCATCATCGTCTACCTCCCTATACATTTCAATTCCATCAAACGTTATTTTCATATTCAACGCGGACGGGCAGCACCTGTTCAGATTCGCCGCACATGCCGCAACCCCGCACCCAACGCCGCCGCCGATAGGAGTCATTGTTTCGGGAACAATGAATCCGTCCACCAGACTCACGTCGTATTAATGCATTGATGATTTTGGAGTCCCCAATGTCATCTCCACCAACGGTGCCTCTGCAATGGAGGAGTCCAGCGCAGTCGCCGCGGCCGGTGTTTGGGTCGAAACAACAGCCCTGTCTTGGCCAGACTCTGCCGGACCATCTCTCCGGCATTTCAACCACCGTCTGTTCTCCAGCGGAGAGACGGAATCCGCCGTCTCTGGGAACTCAGTGGCCGGCGTTTCCCAAGATTCCCAATTTTTTTTTTTTTTTTTTTTTAAGAGATCTTAATTATTTAAATATTTGTTGTTGAAAAAGCAGAAAAATAAAATAAAGCATGTTATCTTAGCCCAAGGAACAAAATGGTATATATTATCAAGAAAAAAAAAGGGAGAATCACATCAGTAACCAGACATCGGTCATCGCTTCAGGCCGCCGCCCGGTCTAGTGTCACAGAAGCGCAACCAGCCCTTCCGGTTGTCTTTCCAACAAATCCGGTTCGACCAAAAAAGAAAACAGCAAATAACCGGATCATTCGGTTGGCTAACCATAAAACGAGTAAACATAACCGACTGTGGTTGCCCTAACCGGCCCATCCCGTTGCGAAAAGGAAAACCAGCGCGTTTTCCTGCCCTAAAAAATTCAAACCCTAAACCCAACTCGGTTTCTTTTGTTTTCAGCAAGCCGAACCCGCCTTTGTCCTACAAACTATTCAACTTCGAGTAAGGTTCTATCCATCTCATCTCTCTGTTTTACTCTTCAATTTCTTAGATTCATTAGCTTTCGATTATATAACATTTATGCTTCCAATTATTGATGAACCAATCTGCGATTGAGGGTCTTCGTTTTGGACAAAATTGGGTTTTCATTGTTCATTCTTTTCTATTTTCTTGCAACAGAATTTTAATCAACCTGTGCTTTTTGTGGACGGTGTCTGTTGAGATTGCACAAATGAACTTCGGTTTGCAACCAGTTCCTATAACGCCCCAAAAACACGACCCAGCATGGAAACACTGTCAAATGTTTAAGAATGGGGATAGAGTGCAGCTCAAATGTTTGTACTGTCACAAACTTTTTAAGGGTGGTGGGATTCATAGAATAAAAGAACATCTTGCTGGTCGAAAGGGTAATGCTTCTACTTGCCATAGTGTTCCTCCTGAGGTTCAGAATCTAATGCAAGAGAGCTTAGATGGAGTTATGATGAAGAAGAAGAAAAGACAGAAGCTTGATGAGGAGATGACTAATGTGAATGCCATCACCGGTGAGGTAGATGCAATTACCAATCATATGGATATGGATTCTAGTTTTCATTTGATTGAAGTTGCTGACCCAGTTGAAACCAGTTCAGGTTTGTTGGTCAATCACGAGGAAGGATCAAGTAATAAAGTGGGAAGGAAAAAGGGTAGTAAAGGTAAGAGTTCTTGCGTGGATAGAGATATGATTGTTCTTCCAAATGGTGGTGGTATATTAGATTCTAACAAGCTCAATAATCAAGTGCATATGGCAATTGGGCGATTTTTGTTTGACATTGGGGCATCTCTAGAAGCAGTGAACTCTGCCTATTTCCAGCCAATGATAGAATCAATTGTTTCAGCAGGTACTGGGATTATACCGCCCTCATACCATGACATCCGGGGTTGGATATTAAAGAATTCAGTGGAAGAAGTGAGGAGTGATTTTGACAGATGCAAAGCCACATGGGGCGACACCGGTTGTTCTGTCATGGTCGATCAATGGCGCACAGAAGCAGGTCAAACCATGCTGATCTTTTTGGTGTATTGCCCTGAGGGAACAGTGTTTTTGGAATCAGTGGATGCATCTGGAATTATGGATTCTCCAGATTTGCTTTACGAGTTATTCAAAAAGGTGGTTGAACAAGTAGGGGTGAAACATGTACTGCAGGTGATCACTAGGTTTGAAGAAAACTACGCTATTGCTGGTAGAAAGCTTTCTGATACATATCCAACCCTCTATTGGACCCCATGTGCTGCTAGTTCTGTGGATTTGATTCTTGGGGATATAGGAAACATTGAGGGTGTAAATACTGTTATTGAACAGGCTCGATCCATTACAAGATTTGTCTATAACAATACTATGGTTTTAAGCATGGTCAGAAGGTATACTTATGGGAATGATATCATAGAGCCTTGTACCACAAGATCTGCCACAAACTTCGCCACGTTGAACCGAATGGTTGAGCTGAAACGATGTCTGCAGACCATGGTTACTTCTCAAGAGTGGATGGACAGCCCATATTCAAAGAGGCCAGGGGGACTGGAAATGTTGGATTTAATCAGCAGTGAATCATTTTGGTCCTCGTGCAATTCAATTATTCGTTTGACAAACCCTTTATTGAGAGTTTTGAGAATAGCAGGTAGTGGGAAGAGGCCCGCAATGGGATACATTTATGCAGCAATATATAATGCTAAACTAGCTATTAAGACAGAACTTGTTGACAGAGAGCGTTACATGGTCTACTGGAACATTATAGATCAGAGATGGGAACACCATTGGCATCATCCTCTTCATGCCGCTGGCTTCTACTTGAACCCCAAGTTCTTTTATAGCATTGAAGGAGAGATGCATAGTGAAATCATGTCAGGGATGTTTGATTGCATTGAAAGACTGGTTTCTGATACAAAGATTCAAGATAGTATAATAAAAGAAATGAACTTGTACAAGAATGCTGATAAAGATTTGGGAAGAAAGATGGCCACCAGAACAAGAGAAACACTTCTTCCAGGTGAGGATCCAATGCATTGCTGTTTCGTGCACAATTGCATTTCACCAGCTTGTTCTAATGTTTATCCTTTCGTTTGTTTATGTTTCTTGTAGCTGAGTGGTGGTCTACATATGGAGGAAGATGCAAAAATTTACAATGCTTGGCCACTCGAATTCTAAGTCAAACCTGCTCCTCGGTGGGGTTTCAGCAAAATCAAATCCTTATTGGTAAGTTACATGACACTAGGAATCACATTGAACATCAACGTCTTAGCGACCTTGTATTTGTGCGCTTCAACTTGCAACTTAAACAAATGTAAGTTAAATGAAACATTCAGTACACAATGACTCTCATGTTTGAAAGTTAGGGACACTGCTGATTTCTTTTCTCCAATTAATTCATTGGCAGGGCCGCTAAAGCCAATGAACAGCATCCATTCGACCCCCTATCGTTCGATGGGCTCGGTATTGTTGACGACTGGGTTTGGAGAAGGGATTTATGTGCAGAGGATTGCGGGAATCTGGAATGGACAATACTCGATAATCCTCCTTCCAGTTCCACTATGCTTTTACCCATGAATGATGACTATGATGGCTTGCCTGCAGGTGATTAATTTATATGGTTTTAGTATATACATACCATGAAACCACATTCATTACTGAAGTTGTCTCATAAATGAGCAGGGTTCGATGACTTGGAGGTTTTTAAAAGGCAGAGAGAGAGTGAAGATGACACTATTTCTTAACACGAAGCTTGCAATGCCTGCAAGCAAGTCGCACCATTTCTGTTGGTACATGATCTTACTTGCAGAATGAATGTTGTATGCTTCTGTAGTAGAATAGGTCAATAGGTCACTGTACCCTATTACTGAGCTAAGTAGTTCGTAGATCACAAGGCTTTTTAGGCAACTTATGGTTTAGATTATTCAGATTAGAGCTGTATATGCAAACGATGGAGGGTCTTTGAGCCTGAATGATTATACCATCACCTCTATAGATATATGATGCTGTTCTTGGTAATCTGTTCTGACCCTGAATGATTTTACATTCATTTTCTAGATGTAAGGTATAACCAAGACTGAAACTGCCCACCAACTTCAATGCATAAAGTAGAGCAAACCAAGGGATATTTTCCTTTAACAGCTAAAGGGAAGGCTTATAATTCATAATTGCAACTTCCATCATCACTCCTAGCTGTTGGGTCGTAGTTTTCTGCATTTGGGTCTGTGCAACCTTCAGGGACAGGAAGGTGTACCTGCTGAGCGGCTTTGCCTGCAACAAAGGGAAGCAACAAGCTTAGAAGAAGCTGCTTTTGTTTCATACAATTATTAAAGACGCATAAAGGATCACTTGAGAGCTAACCGTAGAATGCTCCACTTTTTATAGCGTCTTCATTGGCATCACCAAGAGCAGCCTCACTCAGGTACTTATCAGCCAATTGGACTCTCTTCACGTTCTCTTGCTCCTGAACAAGCATGTTTCCATACTCAAGGAGCTTCTGTAGGGTCATCTTCGGCTGCTCGAATGTCGGTGGTCCTTCCTTTGAGTTGACGAGCCTCTTGGAGATATTCTCTACTCCGACCGAAGCAGCCCACTTCCTCACTTCATCATCATATACCCTTGCTCTCAGGGCACCAAAGAAATCTGTGTGGTCAAGGTTTAGTTGTTAGGTTGGAATAAAGAAGGGAAATGAATCAAAATTTTGATTCATAGTTTACACTTGAAGCTTACCGATGGATTGGCCAGGGAAGGTATCGACAAGCTTGATGATGTCTTCCTTGGGAACATTGTCAGTCCTAAAGATTCCTGAGCAGACACCAATTCGATCTTCTCGAGTAGGTGCCCAATAGAATTTTTCCATACGACCATCACGGATGAGAGGAGCATACAACGTTGAGAAGTCATTACCCGTGACAATGATGGGAACACGAGGGTTCTCCTCTTTGTTGTACATACCAGGGAGCTGGACATTGGTTGGGTTATCAGCTATGTTCATGAGGGTAGCATTAACCATCTGGTTGTTCACAGTGTATTGTGTCGTTCCGCCGAGACGACCAGCTCCGGCATCGAGATCGTTAATGAAGAGGACACACATTTTCCCCTTCTTGATTATGTCTGCTGCTTCACGGTACCTTTGTCGAATCAATTTCGCTGGTTCTCCTGCATTTCCACTCTCCAGTTCTCCTGCACTCATCATAATGGGGCTGAGATAATGAAACAAAGCGTTAGGATGCAGAAGTTGAAGAAGCTGAAACACAAGAACCAGGAAAATATTGTGAAACTCACTTGATTCCCATCTTGGCGAAGACAAGCTCACACTGGAAGGATTTTCCTTGACCTTTGCCTCCCCAAATGCCCAAAATCAGGGGAACCTTGATGTTGGGAAGCTTCATGAAATTCTTGGAGATATGAACAACTAGTTTGTCCATGAAGGCAGGAGCAATGTAGAAGCCATCCACAGTGTTGTCTAAGTTGTACCTATATCATCATCAAAACCCCAACATTACTTCCTTGATTGACAATCTTAGATATACACGCAAAGATGTAGCCTTTTTTGAAACACTCACTGACGAAGTCCAGCACTCAAGTATTCATAAGAACTGAGAACAGGGTCATGAGTTCCTGCTCCAGTAGGAGCTTGGAAGAGTGAGTCGACCATTCCCTTTCCTCTGGTAATGTCTTGTTGATCGTCAGAGATATCATAAGCAAGCCCCTTCCATCTATCCTTATCAGTTTGCTTCTTTTCATCAATGTCCTCAGCAACAGCAACTACCTTCATCAAGCTTCTTCCCGAGGAGACCCTGGAATTTGGGTATCTGAAGTTCGCTTTCTTCAAGCTGCTGCCTAAGAATGCAGAGTTCTGAACTGAAGCTCCAGCGATGGCGCCATTTAAACTCAGCTGCAATAAACAAATACCCAATTAGCCATTCTTCAACCCCTCTAATCTCAAATCTTGGCTACATTATATGATCTCTACAATTGTAATGGAAAACGAGAAGAGAAGGCAAAGGTGAATCAAGATTGGAGTGGTTTGTGGTGGTGTAATGGTGGGAAAGATTTAAATTACCGAAACTCCGTTGACGGCTCCGGCGGTGGCGGCCATGGGATTCAGAGGAAGGAAAGGGAGAGAAGTTTGGAGTGTGTTAAGAGTTTGAAACTTTAAGCAAAGGTGAAGGGAAATGGAGGGGAAGACGATAGTCTTGTAGTAAGAGAGTGAAGCTTCGAGAGTTCAAAAGTTGTTGGATAGGCTTTCAAATTGTTAACGACCACACAATTGAGGTTGTTGGGGATGACACGTGGCATCTGGAGATGGACTGGAACTGTGTCGTTTCTTTTGTTGTTTCTGTTTGTATCCACTAAAATTATCCGTTACCATATTTTCATCTATGATTTCTTCTGTCTTCTTCTTCTTCATTATTTCTACGGAAGTTTCGAGATTCAGTCTCGTAAGAGTTGGGCCCGAGGGCTAGGCTACACTCACAGACCCAACTAGATCTAAAGTTACACACGACTCAAGGAAATAGATCCGAAAGCCAAGAACCTACATGAATCCTCTTGCTAGAAGCCTCTACCAAAGTAGAACAACAGAGGAACACACAAATCTAATAAAATCCCTTAAACAGAGCAAAGAGTAATAGATTTAGATAAGGTTATACTCTTGTCAAAGATGATACACGACCGACACAACCATTGTATCTTTTATCTTTTATTTCGTTGCGTATGGCCTCACAATTCTCCAACCCATGTGGGGCCTCACAACACGGCTCAGCGTCTCTGTTATATATCACGGTCAGCCTCACAGTTTTCACCCATACGAAGAATGCTTTATTCCACGGGGACAAAATGAAGGGAAATGGGTTTGAAAGAAACGCAAGGAAGAAGGTAAGAAGGGTAAGATAGATTGGATAGTATTCATAAGACAGATACGGATAAAAGTATATTCATTTGCACATACATTTACATGAGAGTCTAGATGTTTATAATGTCCTCTATGATTATGAACTACACACAACTAAACTCATGAATTGAATTTGAACGCACAAACATTGTCTACGAGAATCACGACATGACAATTCATGAGTGGAACATTCAAAAAAACTATCATTATCCTATACCCATTTAATAAGATGGAGGAGGAGGAGGAGGAGGAGGAAGAGGAGCCCAAAACATATCTTGTGAAATTTGAGTTTGTGGAATCAAATCATAAACTGGCAACGAAGCTGCTGCTGCTGATGCTTCTCCCCCTGAATTATTTGCATTAATATGATCTTCCGACTGCTTCTCCTCCTTCGCATTCTCTTCATCATCATCCTCCATCGGTAATCTTTCATACATAGCGTTGGTAAATGAAGCTGCAACCACTATGACGGTACCAGCGGCGATGAGGGGGCCGGCGACCAGCCCACCGACGACCCGGCCATGGCCGCCCGCGAGATAGACGGTCAAGCCGGTAGCCCCGTGGGGAGACGGCGCGGGAAGGAAAGCGCCGGAGAGAGACAAGATCTCGAATCGTTCGTGGAGCGTGATGACGCCGGCGGGCTGGCGAAGAGTGACGTCGGCGACGACACCGGTTGCGCTGAGAATGGAGACTCCACGGTGACGGCGGTGGGCGAAGGTGGAAATGGAGTGGGCAATGTCGGTGGCAGTAGTGATTTCGAAGACGTGGCTTTGTAGGGCGTTGGGAGTGTGTTTGGTGATGACAATGGGTGGCTTTGGCTTGTTTTTTGAGCCTGGTGGTCGCCCTCGCGGCCGCCTCTTGGTTTTGACTCCATGATGATCTTCATTCTTAGCATCACGTTGTTGCTGCTGTTGTTGTTGTTCTTCTTGGTTTTCATCTTCTGGGTTTTTAGGATCAAAGGAAGATAAAGAATCAAGCCGTATCATTGTAAGATTCCCAATTCCACCCCACCATCTATTCGCCATATCCCTGATGTTTCAGATCATATAGTATATATGTGAAAATGGTGAGGTGGGTTTTGATTAAAATGGGGAACTAATAGGAAATTAGAAAGAAATTGGAGGAGGAAACAGAAGCCATTGAATAAGATGATGGAGCAGCAGCAACAACCGAACAGAGGAAACAGAGGAAACAGAGAAGCCTTTTTGCCACCCGATGAAGGGCCCGTGTTTCGAAGCTGAAGTGAGTGACAGCTTCTGTAGAAACATTAAAGATTAATAAACGTCCCTATTTTCAAGACTTTTTCCATATAAAACATTAATGTTCAAGTTCCAAGCTCACTGAGGGCAGGCAAATTGAGAGGCTGGGATTCAGGGGATACATGCATAAACTCCCCAGGAGAACCCCATTTTTGAATTCTGAACTTGGAATATGGGATAACAGCAGCGTTTATTGAGAATGTAAGTTTTGGGGAAGACATGGCGTTTGTTGTCAGTATTATGCATGTGTGTCTGTGTGTAAGCAGAGTATGCAGAAACGCCGACCCCTAGGCAGCCGCAGCCGGAGCTCTACATACTTGCTCTGTCTCCACACGCCGCCCTGGAATCTACTCCCCTCCGCATCATTGTTTGATGTGCCATAGCTCACAATCTCATCTATATTTACTACATTTTAGCTATTAAAGTTCAGAACATAATTCTTAACAGTGTCCAAATTAAACGGACATTTTCATGGGAGAATCAAGCGTCTATGTTGTAATTGTTTCACTGTTTCTGCATTTCCTAATCCTAATCCCGATATTGTCATTCCTTCCCCGATCCATAATCTCACAACACTGTCTTTGAGCTGCCTGTACATTCAATCAAATAGACAACATTAATCACATGTCCAAATGAGAATGTTTTAAATAAATGTGTCAGAGGGAAACAGAGATCGTGACCTTCATCCATAGTGCAGTGTCCATCTTCGTTGAGGAGACAGTAACGTCTTTCACCGCCATGACCCGACCGTATTCAATGGTCTCGCATACTTTCTCTTCCTTAGCCACGAACCTTTCGTATCTGGTTTTGATACTCCTTGAGCCCACCTCTTGAACTTGTTTCAAAAAGTAAACAACCGGTCGCCAGCACGGGTCAGAATTCACAGGACGTGTATTGAAGTTGAAGGGTCCATCGCTCCAGCTCCTCCATGTCTTGAACGTCTGAAATGGAATATCCAAGTCCGTGGCTGCCACCATGAAAAGATATATCTGAACAGAGTAGCCCCATGCGATGGAGACAGACCATTTTCTCCTCCTGTCGTAGCATAAACTTTGCTGAAGAATTCGAGATGAGTCCACTCGGTATGCTTGCATGAGTAAATTCAATGAGTCAATCCTTGTTTGATTAGGAAACAAAGGCTCCAAACGATCAAGGTGATGAAGCGATACAAGTGGTGCCAATGGATGCGCTGCCAATATCCCATATGGGTCACCTTTAATATCAAACTGCACAAATTGGATCAGAAAACAAATGCCATCATCAACGTCAAATTTCCCTCAATTTGACAGACCGCCGCCGACGCGGAATCCGACTTAACTGGTCTGGTTGATTTCCTAACTATTCCTCAATCATTAAACGTGTCAGAAGAGTAATTGACGGCAGTACTTGTGTTTTAAAACCATTCAGAATATGCCACGTGTATTACCAATTACAGAGTGTAACAGAAAAGGGACTTTTACCTGGTGGAACCCACGTTCTGTTGTGAGGTGCACGCCGAGCTCGGTAATACAGGCCCATACCCTTTGATCGGAACCGTAGAAATAACTGTAGCGTTGAAGACAACCGTCCATGACGTTGACTAACTGGGCGGCGAGTGGGTAACTGATTGCGAATCCACCGCCGCCGAAGGCCATCTGGTAGGAGTGAATCTGGTCTTGCTCAATGCTCTCAGAGTTCCCACCAATGTAGTACATCTGATTGTGATCATATTTCGCTAACACCGTAACTAAATTCTCCGTGAAAAACACGGTATCATCATCCCCCATAACGAACCACCTCACGTTTTTCAGTCCCAATTTGTAACTCTCCACCACAATTCGAGCCATACGAACCGCCGCCGTCGTGCACGAATAACCCACTCCATCACACGACTCCGACACCCGATATGGAACCGGGTTTTTGGTTTCTCCCGGATCCCTGTCGAGCCAAGCGAACCCTCGATACCGGTTGGGGTTCCACCAGAGATGGGTGTAGAGGCTGCGCGCTTCCCACGTTTGAACCGACGCGCCAATTCCGAATACGATGTGGGATATGTTGGTGGGGGAAGTGGATATGTGGTCGGGGAGGATGAAGCGGTGGGACGGAGAAGAGAAAACAGAGCGGAGGAGGAGGGTGGAGGAGACGAGGAGGCAGAGCAGGACGGCGGCTCTTGGCAGTAGAAGCAAAAAGGCGGATAGTTTATCGGGAAATGCAAAGGAGTGTTTGAAATTGTTAAGTAGACGCTGATTGGGCCTGGAACCTGTAGTGTGAGTGGTCGTGTTGTGTGCCTGCATTTTGAAACTTTAAACAGAGGAAAACAGGGGAAAACAGGGGAAATGAATTAGAGCGAAGAACTGAATGTGATGGATGGATGAAGCAATTACAGGAAGGAGAGGACGGCAACGTGGTTACATTTTTCCTTTAAAATGGCGTGTTGGGCGGGCGGAGAATCCTGGTTTGAGAAGGAAATGGCATCCTTTTTTTTGAAGTGCCAAGCGGGTATTCCCCTGTTTGCCCTCTAAAAACCAACAAACTCGTGTTATCCGCCCTGCTACGTTTGGACTGTTTCGAGTATATAAAAGCCATTGAATCCCAATAATCCAATCCTACAAGTTTTTTTTCAATTCACGATTAAATATAAACTCAAAGTTATAAGTTTAGATTTAATTATTAAAAATAAATGGTCATTATTGTGGGTTGGCATTTATTTATTAACTTGAAGTTTAGATTAAATTCTTAATTTGACCTTATGGAATACTTTGGCAAGGCTTAAGATTAATATCATCCACACAAAAATTCCTTCAACCTAAAACTTATGTACATTTTTATAGATTATAGAATAGAGATTAAATTTAGTGTTACTACCATTTTTTAATTATAGTTAATAATACCAACGTTGTTCAATTATTTAATTTTATTTAAAATCAATATTCATTTTAAGTTTTTAGTAGGAAGGATTGTAGACTAAAATATTTTTTAAAAAAATAAGTGACAACCTTGAAATGCATATTAATATGAGATTTTCTTAATCTTATAGTAAAACCATTGTATTTGATTCTATTGTTTTATTTGTATAATATATATTATATATTATATATTGTGAATTTCTTAATCTCTATAATCGAATCAAATTAAAAGCTTTTCATCTATTTGTCCACGCCACGCCAATTCTTATAGTTGACTTTCTAACCTCTAAGCCCACGTAGCGATCGGAGACAGCCAACTGCCATAACACACGTGTCGAATAACAAAGGTGACGTCACTCTTTAAGACACTAATACTTGTATTTTGATCTGACGTGTCGCATGGGTTTGGGCTTTGGTCCCAAATTCCTATTAAGCCCAATTATTTTTAAGAAGGCTAAAGATTTGAAATAGAATTTAATCTTTTCACTATGATTATGTTTTTTTTCTTGTTTCCTTGTAGTTCTTGTTTAGTTCTCTGTTAATCGATTTGAGATAGCAAAGTTGGTGCGACAAACACCACATTCATGTGCAATTTCTTCCATTTTGCTGACTCTACCATCTTCAAATTTGTCGTCTAACACATGTGCAAGTGAGGCCGACCGTGTCGAGATGATTTGCATAATAACGAGATGTATTTACAAAAAAACGTATTGATGAAATAATTAATTGTAATAATTCAAGTCCACCGTTCCCAGATATTGTATGCTTTAGTTCAATGAACGTGTCTACTAGAGAGAGATTTCCACGCCATTGTAAGAATGTGGAATCTTGCAATTCACTTCTTTGGGGGCTAGCGCCTAATTGGCACACGGCTTGATTCCTAGCTTTGATCCTATTTGTAAACCCTAAATTCATCGCTAGTCGATATTGCCACTAGCCTCACCATTTTAAAAATGTTTGTGTATATAAATCTTAAAGTAAAGAATGAAATTAATTAGTATGTGATAATTAGAAAACTAAATAGCCTCCTACCTGAATTGATGAATTGATCGATATATATAAAGTTTGAAGAAGAAATAATGGACGGGCGTGATTTGGTTAGTTCGGGGTGGAGATTGCGCCACGTGTGTGGAGAAGGAAACAGAGTGGGGACCACGGGGGCGTGTTTAGTTCCAAGAAGGGTAAGAGTGGGATGACGAAAGGATGCCACGTACAAAACTCTATTGAACTGCTAAAAGAAAACGGCAAATGGAAATTAAAAAAATGAAAAAAAAAAAGAAGAGAGACAGTGGGAGAAAGTGGCGGGGAGGGGGAGGCGGTCGGCTGAGGAGCAGAGGCGTGTCAGTACTGGAAGCTCCGCTGTCGACACCTCATTCTGCCACGTGTACCTTTTTTTACTCAACTTGTCTCTCCTCCCCAAAATTCTTATTTCTTCCCCCCCCCCCCTTTCCTTCATCCCTTCTACTCTTCCAAACTCATTTCCGTTCCTTAAATGGCAACTTCAGCCCCCAATTTTTGCCTTTTTCCCCAAATCACCACTAATTTCTAAAATTTAGAACCCATCCATTGGATCTCACAATCCACTTCTTGGTAGCTAGCATCTTAACAAATGCGTTTTAAAATCATAAGACTGATGACAATATGTAACGGGCAAAAATGAACAAATACCTGTTAGCGGTGGATTTAGACTTTTATAAATGGTATCAAAATTAAACACTTAGAAGTATGTCATGGCGCAAAGACGTTGCCCCAAGAGAGGCTGATTGTGAGATCCCACATCAGTTGAAAATAGAAACAAACCACTCCTTAGGATGGTTCACACTTTGAAATTTGAGAGGGAAGTGAAAGAGAAGAGCATCTTTGAGAGTGGGTTCAGCCATTACAAACTATATTGGAGAATGTAAATTGGGAAAGGTTATGGATGGAATTGAAATAAAGAAGAAAAGAAGGGAAAAAAGAGTAAATAATGAAAAAAGAAGTTGCTGGGTGTCAGGCGGGCGAGGGGAAACTTTCGGCCGAATATCTTAGGCCTTACAGATCATGCGTCTACGTCGGCCACTGCTCTTTAAAATTCTTCCATTCCGATGTTTCCACTCTAAGCCTCACACACACACACACATATATACACATCTATATATATTCTTCAACCTTTTTCCATCTTCGTAAATATTTTTATTTTAATTCAAATCCCATTTTTCACCGCAATAACATGGCTGAGATTTGCTTTGCTGGAGATGGCGAGCCCTCTCCCCGACCAAAATCTCGACCCCGAAACTCGGCTCGCCGAACGAAGGAGCTTCTTCAGCACAATGCCGCTGCCGATGAATCTGCTTCGTCGTCGTCGTCGTCGTCGTCGTCGCCGTCTACGCCGCCCTCACACCAGGGACGGAAACGCCGCGGTGTTCATCATTCCCTCCGGCGGTGCAAAAAAGTGGATAATAGTGTTGATGGTGTGGAGACGGCTAAATATGGGGTCACCTCTGTTTGCGGAAGAAGAAGAGAAATGGAAGACACGGTTTCGGTTCATCCATGCTTTGCTACTCACAGAAATCAACCCCAAATTCCCCTTCACTTTTTTGGGGTCTTCGACGGCCATGGCTGCTCTCATGTAAGAATAACAACACCACCGCCGCCGCCTTTTCAGTTTCATCAATTTTGACTAAAAAAAATTGAATTCCTTAATTTGGGTTTTTTTTTTTTTTTTTTGGGTGTAATTAATTATATAATTGATTAGGTGTCAGTGAGGTGCGAAAATCGAATGCATGAAATATTGAAGGAAGAGATTGAAAGCGAATTAGGAGAATCAATGGAGTGGAAGACATTGATGCAACGAAGCTTTGGGCGTATGGATGAGGAAGTCAAGGAGTACTGCCATCACGACGACGACGACGACGACGACGACGACGACAAAAATAAAAATACTGTTAGTTGCAGATGCAAACTCCAGACTCCTCGCCAATACGACACCGTTGGATCAACCGCTCTGGTTGCCATCGTAACGCCCCACCAGCTCATCATCTCCAACTGCGGCGATTCCCGCGCCGTGCTTTGCCGTAAAACTAGTGTCCTCCCCCTCTCCTCCGATCATAAGGTACGTCCAATACTCTCGTTGAGGATTGGGTTTGTGTTTTGTGAATTTCCCATTTTTTTTGAATTTTTATGATTTGAATAAAATTCTGAAATTTTGATAGTTTTGCAGCCAGATCGACCGGACGAATTGTCTCGTATAGAATCGAGAGGCGGGCGAGTGATTTACTGGGACGGGGCGAGAGTGTTGGGAGTTTTAGCTATGTCAAGAGCCATAGGAGATGGTTATCTAAAACCGTACGTGATATCGGAGCCAGAGGTGGTGGAGGTGGATCGGACCGGGGAGGATGAGTTCTTAATCTTGGCCACCGATGGCCTGTGGGACGTCGTTTCCAATGAAACAGCGTGCGACGTCGTTCGAACGTGCATGCGGGCTCCGCCGGCGTCCACATCATCGTTGAGCGGCAGTGACAAAACTTGCTCCGACGCCTCCATTGTGCTGACGAAGTTGGCCATGGCGAAGCATAGCTCAGATAACATTAGCGTAGTGGTCATAGATTTGAGAAGAGATGTCACCGAACTCTAAATTAGCGTTCTCAAGAACACACCCAAATAGAAATATGTTTCTTTTTTTATTGTTTGGTTTCATTTCGTGTTTGAATTTTAAGGTTGGAGAAATTAGCTTAGTATGTTTTGATGATAAATTAATGGAGAGACATTAGTGGTTGATCTTAGCTTATAGCTTAGATTGTGATTTAAGGAAGAGAAATGAATGGATGAGATGCCATGAATTTAGTCTCTTTTCAAACTTGATCAATCAAAACATCTTGAATGAACGTTTTCCAATGAAATGTAGAAAAACAGAGCCCACTAAGAAAGGTTAGAATCCGTTAAATTGATTCCATTTCAGCTGCCCTTAACTGAAAACGAGGGCGTAATCAGAAGGATAAAGCCATAATATTTTGACTTTAAAGTGAAGGTTTAGTTCAATCTATGATGCTCGGAATCTAGAAAAATCTTTAGAGAGTGGAGTATTATATAATACTGCTCAACCTCGTCTCAAAGGAGAACCAAACGACAGGGACAGAGTTGAAAATTTCAAACATGTCAGTGCTCTACGTCATTGACAATTTCCCGAACAGTCTTTGGAACTTATGCTCGGACCTATTTCTTTTATACTCTATCCCTCTCCAGATTGATTACGCCATATCGCCAGCGAATCTGCATCCATTCTGCAACTGCAGTGCAAGAGAGACACACACATAATATACACACACAGTCGAGATGAGGTAAAACAGCACAATCTACTTTTTCGTTCATGTTTTTTTGTAAGAATCAAATCCACCACTTTTTCTTGAGACCCAAACCCAGGCAATAAATAGAGTAGTGATGTCTCCTGTTATGTCTCTATTTCTACAGAAAGATTCCCACTTTGCTATCATATTCTAATCATACTCTACACTCATCTATAACCAAATTCCTGAATCTAATACTCTTAACATATGAAAGCATAGCAGCTTTGGAAACAATCCATTACTAGTGAGAGCATTACATTCACAATTAAGAAAACCTAGATTTTATAAAACTTGAAGCTGTGTATCTCGAGTTTCAACTCAGAAGAACAAGTTTTAATACTATTGGATTTACATGATCGGAATGTGAAGACACGAGGGTGATAATAATGCTCGACCAAGTCATTCAAGTGCAGTCTGCAAATCGCAAGTGTCGTAGCATATCCATCAGTGGACACAACAAAGCAACTATTTGCCGCTAATTAGCAAAATTACGAACGGTGAAATGTTTACAATTGGGTGACAAAAATCGACTCAACAAATTTGGCTCTCATTTTGAAGCCAGTTATAATAATTTATAACAGAATAGAATGAACTATATCAGCTAATATAATGTCAGCTATATGGTGGAGGTATAATAGAGAGTACCTACGTGGTTGATTACATGTTGGAATTGGTAAACCAGGGGCATCCAGAAGTCTTCACTCTTGAGATGATCTCTCAGTAAACATCTTTTTATTGCTTCTTAAGACAGATGGTTGCCATTTATTTGCTTCGCCAATCTGCCCTTAAATAGGGGGGTTAGTAATTTAGGGGCTGGAACATTTTCACTTCATTTTTATGCTCTTGTGAGGAGCTTGTCTGCCATCATGATCTTATAACTTGCATGAGGACCTTCCGACGTATCCCGCACATTCACATGCCAACCCATGGCCTTCCCAATGCCTTGAAGCTCATCCATGACTGCAACGGAGTCTCGAATGTACACTCGTCCACCTGGTCTCAGCATTCTATCCATCTCAAGCATTATGGTTGATATATTGCACCTGAAACACGCATCAATTTGACAGTTGGTACCCATCACAATGATTTTCAAATTCACTCCGTTGATCTCATTGGAATACATTATTATGAATTAGGGGAAGGAAAGGAGTGTAAACCAAGAATAAATTACATCTGTAGAAAATCAAACAGAGAAATCGAATTAATATGGGATACCTTTTCCTTTCGACTGAGAACAAACCAGCTGCATGCAATAAGTCGTAGGTTCTTGGATATGTATCAAATGGTTCGCACCTGACATGTTACAATATTGTTTGTTCTGTTTTCAGTAATCAACATTATCTTTTTATATCAGTGTAGTTTAAAACATGCATTCAAAAGCTTGATGCTAATAAACTTATGAAAGTTTCTTATGTTACCAATCGTGCATAACTCCAATAAGCCCCCGATCATAAATAACAGGCAAGGTGTTAGGCCCACTAACAGGAACAACATTCAACACCCAGCAATCTAGTTTAAGATCAATCAACGCCGCTGCAAATCTGTTAACACAAGATCTTAAGCAAATATATCATGGGAAGAATGAAGAAGCGGAAGATCAGGTGGTTGGTAAACATACCCTCCAAATCCCGCCCTCATATCCATTACATTTCTTAGTCTGAACGTTTTCCAATGAAATGCACGAACATAGCTGTCTATTATCTCATTCCAGTATTTAGATTCTGCCTTGAAGAGCTCATTTCGGGAAATGTACGCATCGTATTGAATTGTCTGAAGCCTACCAGGTGGTGTATACAACCGTTCAGGCCAAACAGTGACAGTTGCCCCATAACCATCTTCTGGAAGACGGGAGATGCATGTCTTAAGATCTACATTCCTGTCTCCAAAGAAGTAATCAAAGATTATGCACAAGAATCACATAGAAAAAAACTAACTCTACAAAGAGAGGAAAATATAAGAACACACACTACAATTCTCTAAGAATCATACCATACTCTGTCTGGGTCGTCATCTTGGTCACAAAGTGGAGGTTTAGTTTCTGCCTGACGATTTAGATAACAACTATTATTTAATGGCTTCTGCCAAATTGCAATATATCCATCTTTTTTCACGAACTCCCAACATAGTCGGGTGGTCAAATTGAGCATCTCTGACAACCAAAAGGAAAAATTCACACATAAGCAACACTTGAAAGTTCAGAGAAAAGATCAAGTCAATTTCGCCCGAACTAACAAAAAGTAGGTGTATACAACATATAAGTTGCCACAGGACTCTTAGATGTTTGTTCTTATCATCTCAAATCTTGTATCAAACAGGTTGTATTACTTATTCTAGAAGGACAAAAGGAACTTGCAAGATAAGAGTGTTCGTGTCACTAAGAAACTGTAAAGTGCAAAAATTTCAAAGATCTAACTGAGAATTGCCCTTCCAGAGTGCAGGCCAAACTTTTAAGGCAAAAACACACCATCGGCAGGAGATCTTAAGTGAGCTTTTAGTTACCTTCCCACTGTTCCTCCAAAACTTCTTCATGCTTATAAACAGGTTGTGCTGCCCACGCAAAGTATCCACCGGCCCTGAGCATTCGGTTAAGCTCAAGCAGCAAAATGCCATCTTCATAGGACAAGTTGAAGATTAGAAATCAACAGACATGAGACAAACCTAAAGTAAATATGCTTCACAGAGAAAAGCTTCACTAGGCAAATAATTTAGCTAGACAATGCCTGGCACATTGGAAACATTAATTTCAAGAAACCTATTAGAAATAAACTAAGGTCTTCATGAGCGACAAAGTAAACAGGCAATCTTGATGTTTATTTATGACAACAATGATTTACGGCCCAAGGCGAAAGAGTAAGAAGTTTCACTCTGAAAAAGTGTTAGGGAGAACGAGTTATAGTGCAAAGTACCCTAAAAAGAATTTTACTTCATACAATAGTTTTCATTTGCTCATTGAATCTGAAATCAAGCACAGCTAATGAACGTCTAGAATTGTTCTAGCGAAGAAAAATGCCTTTCTTAAATTGAGTACCAAGGAGAATTTCACTCTTTACCCTGTTCATATTTGCGTGATAAATAATGGATGAGATTGAAAAAGAATTACCATCACGGGTCCAGTTGATTCTGCATCGCGAACAATGTATCAAGTCAAAAGCTTGACTGGGATACAATAAGCGATGAGTAGCAAATGCAGCAACCATTGCAGGTACACCACGTTCAAGAGCAAACTGAATCTGATTCTCGTGAACATCTTTTGGAGCAATGGACATGGTAATGACATTCCGAGACAGCAAATAGGCGCCAAAACTTGCAACACCACATCCAATATCCAAGACAACGCGAGTATGGTGACCAAATGCAATATCAGGGATCATCTAATTAGCATGAAGAGAAACAGCATAAGATGCCATGCCACCAAATACTTAATTTGCATTCTGAACTTTGAGAATTACAGTTTTATTTACCTTAGAAATATGATCCAAATATTCGTCTGCACCATGTATAAACTGTGTCCCACCTCCAGGAAATTTAAACTTATCTTTGTCTCTGGTAATCCAGTTTTGGCCCCCTTTATCCTCAACCAGACGAGTATGAGGAACATTGCTGAACCAGACCTAAAACCAATGATACGCCTATGTTAGAAAAACTCCAAACCAGACCTAAGACCAATGATACGCTTAAGTTAAGAAAGCGCCAAAACCAGACCTAAAACCAATGATACTCCCAAATTACGAAAACTCCAAAATACTTTCACAAAAGAAACAACTTTTAATTAGTTGTAGCAGTTTTAAATCGTTGAATTTCTGTAATTGGAACTACAAAGCGAGCAATACCTGGTCTCTGCTTCTTGGCCAAGGGATTGGTGTCTGGTACCCCTTCGGCGGCGGGATCAAGCAATTGAATCCTCCACCGGCGACTGGGCAATGCCTCTCGAACTTTTCCCCTTTCTCCACTGACTCGAGCTTTGAAATTGCGTCCACATTGTCCAAGCAGGGTATATACTCACTCATGTTCTGAGGGCAGAGGGCAAACTTCTTAATCCGGAAGCTCCGAGAACCGCCCTTGCCATTGTCAACCTCCGTGGAATTCCCCCTGTTCTCCACGTATTCGGGATCCAAATCCCCGACCTCAAATTGATCCGACATTGTTCCATTCTCATCCACAATTCCAAATCTCTGCACCGAATCGGAGGGCGGAGGGGGATTCGGAGCGAGCAACGGCGATGGAGTTGGGTCGAGATTCAATGTCTTATCAGGAAGCGTCTGCGTGTCATTCTGTGGAATCAGAGTAGAGCTATTGAAGTGCTTGTTGTAGTTGGGTGAAAGTGAAACCGTAGGAGCTTGACTGGTGCTTTGGAAGAATATAAGCTGCTGGTACCCATCGGACCAGTGCTTCCCAAAGTAAAAGAAGGTAACAGAAACAAAAACAAGAGTAGCGATCTTGAATAATGGAGGAGCTCGAAATGAATCGCCGTTCACAAGCGAATCAGATCTCATTCTGGCTGAATTCCAGAGTCCCAGATCTCAGATCTTCTCCACTTCTCCAGCTCCCTCTCTCTATCTCTCGGGAGCTTCGGCACTTTCTCTACAATCGAAGCAATTGGGAGGCGGAATCGGAGGAGGAGAATGTGCAGAATTAAACTCTCCAACGTATAAACAATAATATGAGTATGGGAGTGAAGTTAACGGATTTTGAGGAAGAAAATATGACGATGGCATTTTTACATTACAACATTAGGCATCGTGTCCGAAAAGGCGAGGGAAATTGGTGTGGGTTTTCAGCCCGAGTTGCACCGAGTTTCCGTAGCGCCTGCCTGAGAAGATGCCACGTGTTAAGACCGAGTCCATAAATGGAATGCCGTTTACTCCAGTTTCCATATCCGACGTCGGTGACCCACGAGCTCATAACCGTGGGTTACTCCTTCTGAGAAGCCTTGCAAATGGCGTTTCCAAAATGGGTTACTCCTTTTCGGATTTAATTATGATCATTTTTGTTTTAAATTTGTGTAATTAATAATATAGGAAAAGAGAGAGAATATATGGAAGTTGTTAATCTCATATTTGATTGCAGGATGAAGATGAAAACTACATAAGTTTGTTATTGAGAAGGGAGGGATCTAATTTAAAGGTAGGGTGGAAATCGTGCCAGAGGAAAGCACCCATTGCGAATTGTCGTTTGTAGGGCAAGTTGCCATGAGTTGGGAGACCGTACTCGAGGAGAAGGCGGTCGAGCTTCCATTCAGGCATGTTCTCGTAGTCCATCTTGGAATATCTGGGATAGTGAAGTGGCATTTGAAAGAAGTTGTCTCCTCCTTGTTTCTTCTCATTGTTCTCCATTTTCCTTTTGAATGTGGTGTGGGCTTGATGGCGGCTGGGAGGTGTGTTTTTAAAGGGGAGAGAGAGGGAGGGAGAGGAAGGGAGAGGGCGGCACGAGAGGCATGGAGTTGCTCACAAGGATTGTTTGATGCAACTTCTCATGCAATGCGTTTGCTCATCAACAACTTGGGTGGCGATTCATGGTGTTCCTCAAATTTGTTAATGGTCTGCGTCTTGCTCCTTTCGTTATTGGGCCTTTCCAACAACTCTTCCTCTGGATTTGGACTTTCTGTTGGCCTTTTTTTTTTCTTTTTTCATCCATGCAACATGTGTTTCTATTATTATTATTTCCATACATAACATCTGTGGGACCAAAATTGAAAACATAATAGCTGAAAGTCTACCTAATATTTTATCATATCTTCTGTAAAAAAAAAAACCTAATTAAAGATATCTAAATTTATCTCGGTGGAGAGAGGAAATAAACATTTTTTTTATAAGGGCGTGCAAATCTTTTTGTTTTAAAGTCATGATAGGTCTGAAGCAAACAATATTTGCTAGAGATAGGTTGGAGAAGGGTGTGGACTGAAATATATTTTAAAAATTGAATTATATATATGTTGCATAAAAAGGAAGATGGGTAGGTGGAAATAAGGTGGTTTAATAAATACCGTGGGCGCGGAATTTCGGGCTTCACCAAGTGCGTAAATATCCAAACGAAGACTTTCTCATTATTTTATTTTTATTATTTTTCAACCAATATCAATCTCTTGTCTTGTTCAATAATCTTGATGACGAAAGAAAATCATAAAAATTAATTATTTTATTTTGAGTCAATATCGACCTTGACTCAAATAAAAATTTATTCTAAAAAATTAGAATTAAGACATAACGCACCAATCCAACATAACTTTTATGGTTTAATTTCTATAACAATTTATAAATTATTTTTTTAGTTTTTAAAATTAAGTTTATAAACCCAAAATAAAAAATGAAACTGAAGCTCGTTTTTAAAAACTGTCGTGGAATTGACACAAATTTTGTTTAAAGAAAACAGCTCAGCAAGGTTAGTTTGACTCTGATTTTTCTCCCACTTTAAAATATAATAATATATTTTCCATTTATTTTAATCCGCCCATTGGAATTATATAACCTACCAGCGTCCACCACTCCATCTTCCATATCAATGGCATCCTTTTCCAGACGCCTACTCCTCTTTGCGGCGGTGCTACTCGCCGCCGCTAAAATCGCAACCTCCGCCAACCGATGCCCAGACTGCGGAGGTACCGGCGTTCCCTATCCTCTGAGCACCAGCCCCACATGTGGGGATCAATCGTACAAGATCCGGTGCGACGCAGGCTCACTGAAATTCGATACGCTGAACAATACGTACCCGATCATCGCGATCAACCCATCGGCCCAACGGCTGGTGATCCGCCCATCTAACTTCCTCCGAGAAACGTGCGTGACAGAGGATATTGCTCACGGAGGAATCCTACTGAACAACAGTTTACCCTTCAACGTCACGAGCGGGAACACGATCCTATACTTCAACTGCACGGATTCGCTTCTGCGCTCGCCGTTGAACTGCTCGTCGACGAGTTTGTGCCATTCGTACATCAACGGCTCGAGAGGAGCGGCGGCGTGCGAGGCGGCGCCGCTGTGCTGCACGTTTCGGGCGGGTGGGTCATCGAATTCGTACATGATTCGGGTGATGGAGTCGGGGTGCAGCGCGTACACGAGCTTTGTGAACTTGAACCCGAGTTTGGGACTGTTGCAATGGCCTGAACCCGGGTTGGAGCTGCAGTGGCTTTCGCCGATGGAGCCGATTTGTAATACGCAGGCTGATTGTGATGGGAACGCGGCTTGTGGTGTTGACCCAAGTGGGACCGGGTTGAAACGTTGCCTCTGTAATTCAGGGTTTCAGTGGGACCCTATTGCTGGAATCTGCTCTCAAAGTGAGTGTTTGACTTTTCTTCCCTTCTGACCGTACTAAAAAATTAGAGCTTGATTGAGGATTCGTGGTTGATTTGCTTGTTTTTACAGACACGTGTCATGATCCTGACGGTTGCAAGAAGTCCCGAACTGCACTAATAGCCGGTAATTTCTATCTATCTATTTATTGATTACTTAAATATTAATTTAACTAATAAATAGAAAATTTCAAAATACTTAATTAATTATTAAAAAAATAAAAATTAATACATTTGTTCATCCAAAAGAGATCGTAAATATTTAGAAATTATGTGCATAGGCATTGTATCCGGCGTCGGCGCGGCGGTGTTATTGTCAATAATAGCCATGTTAGTATATAGACGACATAGAAGAGCGAAAGAAGCTCAAGAAGCTCAAGATCGCTTAACAAAGGAGCGTGAAGCAATTCTGAACTCCAACGGCGGAGGCGGAAGGAACGCAAAGATCTTCTCCGGAAAAGAGATCAAGAGGGCCACCCACAATTTCTCCGCCGATCGCCTTCTGGGTGCCGGCGGCTATGGTGAGGTCTACAAAGGCATTCTTGGGGACGGTACCCCTGTAGCTGTGAAGTGCGCCAAGCTCGGAAACGCAAAAGGCACCGACCAAGTCCTGAATGAGGTCCGAATCCTCTGCCAAGTTAACCACCGGAGTCTTGTGTGGCTCCTTGGGTGCTGCGTTGAATTAGAGCAGCCAATTCTGGTGTACGAGTATATCCCCAACGGCACTCTTCTGGACCATTTGCAAGGTAGTAAAGAGACAAGGGCATTAACATGGGAGCAGCGGCTCCAGATCGCGCAGAGCACAGCAGAGGGACTAGCATACCTTCATTTCTCAGCAGTTCCACCAATCTACCACCGAGACGTGAAATCCAGCAACATCCTACTAGACAATAAGCTAAACTCCAAAGTTTCGGATTTCGGCCTCTCCCGATTGGCGGAAACTGATTTAAGCCATATCTCAACTTGCGCGCAGGGTACTCTGGGGTACCTGGACCCCGAGTACTACCGGAACTACCAGTTGACTGACAAGAGCGACGTGTACAGTTTCGGAGTGGTTCTGCTGGAGCTGTTGACGTCGCAGAAGGCCATCGATTTCAACCGGGAGCCTGACGACGTGAACTTGGCGGTATATGTGCAGCGGATGGTGGAAGAAGAGAAATTGGTGGATGCCATCGATCCGAGGCTGAAGAAGGGAGCCACGGACATGGAGGTTGACACGATGAAGGCTTTGGGGTTTCTGGCAGTGGGATGCTTGGAAGAGAGAAGGCAGAATCGGCCTTCCATGAAAGAAGTGGTGGAGGAGATTCAGTACATCATAAGCGTCGCCACTGCCAAGCCTTGAAATCAGTAAACACAGAACAGAAACAGAAGATGAGGCAATGAATGCGCTCAATAAACACCTTTTTCTTTTTTTAACGCACGGCTGTGATTGTACGAGCCTCACAGCCAATTGCATGCGGCCAACGGTTTGTAGCTTTTATGGCCTCGTCCTTAAAATTTTCCGATGAGCTGGCCATCTTTGAAACCACTCCCTTCAACAAGATGTCTCAAATTTTCTTTCTTCTACTTTCATAATTTTTTAGAGTTAATAATGTAATATTAATAATTTTATTTCTGTACTAATATTTTTGAAAATTTTAATTTTTGTAAGAGTATTAATAAAATTAGTGAAAGTTTTAGCTTATTTTTGAATTAAAATATTAATGATTTTTATACGAAATTATAGGTAAATATATTTTTTTTATTTTTAAAGTTGAAGGTATAATTAAATTGGATTTTTATTTTTTATTAATTAATTAATTTTGTGCATGTGATATTTCGCGGGAACATGGATTATTATCGTAGAAATGACGATATTTCGACGATTTCATCCATAAGGGAGGAAGATAGAGATTTCTGTTGCCCAATAAATTCGGTCGGCATTTCATTCACTGAATTGCCCGATAAGCCTTTCGTCCCTCGGCAGGCATCCTTTTTGGATCATAACACGGCGACGAACCAGCCGTGAGGGTCCTTCCGCGGGAAAAACTGAGCGCTCTCGCGGTCGGTTGACTAGTCGCAACTCGACTTCATTTCCGGTTCAGCTCGGGTTCTGATCTCCTGAGATCTAAGGTAATTCTGTCTTCCATTCTTCTTTGTTTTTTCTGCTAGATCCGTGGTTTAATTGCGTGTTCTATGATTTTTGAGATCGGGAGGGAATTTGGAGCTTTTGAAAGTGTTCTTTGGTGTCGTATGAAGGTTTAATCTGACAATGTGGTTGCTCTTGGTTTCGAATCTGAAATATTGACTCCGTACTCCATATTCCCTGTTCGACTATCTGATTTGATTTCGTTGCGCTTGAAATTTGTTAATTTGATCTTATTCATTGATTCCAAGAGTGCTTTGATAATTAAGTTGTTTGGCTCTGTGTGATGGCAGATCTGATAAGATTGCGGCTATTCTTTGAAGTTTACCTTTTTGATTATTCCTATTGCTTATAGATAAGAATTTATATGAGACAGAACAATGAATCATTTTGATAAGGTTACGATAATTTTCTGGCATACAGATCTATACTTCCTCGATATTCTCTTTTCGTTTGTGTTCGGCTAATAATTTAAATGCTTTAAGTTAGAACTTCAGGACTAACCTTATATCTTTTATGATTCGTCCTTACAAACCACCTAAGGAAACAAACACAATAATTTGATGTGAAGGTTTTGCATTAGTTTCCAAAAACATATGGGTCAATTATACTAAAATAATTTTGTTGGACAATCTAGGTAATAAAATGAAATCATACTGTGCAGCATGCCAAAATCTTTTGTTTAGGCATTTTCCTTTAAACTATCCTTCGATCTGAATTCTGATTACTGTATTTCAATCCTTTTGGTGGAGAAGGAAATTCTTAGAGATTGATTCTAATACAGTTTCCAAAGTGATTTCTCAGTTATTGGTTTTAAAACAAATCGTGAATTTCAATGTTATAGTGTATGCTGAAATTTACCAATTTGTTATTTCGTAAAGGGAAGACGCCCTTCTTTTTTTGACTAAATTTTCATTCTGAAAAAAACATTTTGAAAATAGTTTCCAAAAGAACTCTAGCCTTTTGTGAGATGGTTTTTGATGTTTAGGAACTGGACTATTTAAATTTTCAATGATGTAAAAAACAAAACTTCCTGATGTGGAGACGTTCAAATGTTTGGAGCAGTATTTATGATGCTACAAGGTTCTTGAGTTCTCGTTGACAGCTAAATATTTTGTAATTATTGTGGTAATCGCATGGATCAATGTTTAGTCTGCCGGCTGCTTTTTATATTTTGAGGTTTCTTTCAAACTTTGTTGGTCAAGTGAGGAGTCTCTTATCTGCCTCTCTCTAGGTCCTTCTGTGGATGGTACTGGCTGTTGAGTGTCATGTGAGTCCATTTTTCTTTGCTAGGATATATATATACATGTACAAGCCATGCATGGGTTCAAAGATATAAATACATCTTTCTTTGCATAGATATATTTACATGCATGAGTACAAAGTATAATAACCTTTTTTTTTCTTCGTTCTTCTCATTGGATCTCGTCTTCTTAAACGAGTCTCATCTTCTTAAACGAGTGTCAAAGCTATTTTCTTTGTCATTGTCCACAGAAAGCAGAATTGACCACATCACAATGAAGGCACTTATTCTTGTTGGAGGATTTGGAACACGGTTAAGGCCATTGACCCTCAGTGTCCCCAAGCCACTTGTTGACTTTGCTAATAAACCCATGATCCTGCACCAGGTATTCCCCCACCCCCTTTTATCTTCCTCCAGACCCCATTTTTCAAGAAGCTCCTAGTACATCCTGCTAATATTATGGTTATTTTTGTACCGTTTATTTCAATGAAATATTGACATGAAATTATCGATTTTCTAATTCTGGTTGTAACAGAAATTAGAGAATATCTAAAATATATTCATTTTCTGGCAAACTCGAAACGAGTATAAATTAGAGAATGTCGCAAATTAAACTGCTTTTAAGGAGATGATTTCGTTTAATCATGCTGCTGTTCTGAAAAGCCTTTTTCTCCCTCACTGTCCAGATAGAAGCTCTCAAGGCTATTGGAGTGGAAGAAGTAGTTCTGGCAATCAATTATCAGCCAGAAGTATGGAAATAACTCTTTTTTATTCACCTACTTTACTTGAGGTTTGCAGTGATAGATACAATAAATCTTTATTTCTGCAGATAATGTTGAATTTCTTGAAAGAATTTGAGAAAAAGCTTGGGATCAAGATCACATGCTCTCAGGAGACAGAGCCACTTGGAACAGCTGGCCCTCTGGCCCTTGCAAGGAACAAACTGGTAGATGATTCAGGCGAGCCGTTTTTTGTCCTCAATAGTGACGTTATCAGTGAGTATCCACTTAAAGAAATGATTGAATTCCACAAGAGTCATGGGGGAGAGGCATCAATCATGGTAACCAAGGTAAAACACTTGAGTTCAGATTTACTTTTAACTTCATAGGCACTTCGTCAAGATTCTATCAAGTCAGTAGTTGATATATTTTCTTCTTCTAGGTGGATGAGCCTTCCAAATATGGTGTGGTTGTCATGGAAGAATCTACTGGGAAAGTTGAGAAATTTGTGGAGAAACCAAAACTATTTGTCGGCAACAAAATTAATGCGGGAGTTTACCTGTTAAACCCCTCTGTTCTGGACCGAATTGAACTAAGGCCAACATCAATTGAGAAAGAAGTGTTCCCTAAAATTGCCGCGGAGCAAAAGCTCTATGCAATGGTACTGCCAGGGTTTTGGATGGACATTGGACAGCCAAAAGATTATATTACAGGACTACGACTCTATCTAAGCTCCTTGAGGAAGAACTCTCCATCAATGTTAGCCGTTGGGTCTCATATTGTAGGGGATGTTCTTGTGGATGCGACTGCAAAGATTGGCGAAGGATGTCTGATTGGTCCGGATGTTGCCATTGGTCCTGGTTGTGTTGTTGAGTCAGGAGTTCGGCTATCTCGATGTACTGTAATGCGTGGCGTGCGAATCAAGAAGCACGCTTGCATATCAAGCAGTATCATAGGCTGGCATTCTACCGTCGGACAATGGGCGCGTGTAGAGAATATGACAATACTAGGAGAAGACGTTCATGTGGGCGATGAAGTTTACAGTAATGGTGGAGTAGTGCTGCCGCACAAGGAAATCAAATCCAGCATTTTGAAGCCTGAAATAGTCATGTGAAGGTGTGTACTTGCAAATTAGTGGAATTCCTTTTTGAGAGCTGTAACGTAAAGTTTCGTGAGTGAGTTTTATCCGTTCTTTTACTTCCTCTTCATGGGCGTTTCTTGCAGCATAATGTCACTGTCTGCTTCTTCAAGTTCTGTGAGCGAAGGTTCATCTCCTTTACCAAGGGCGTTTCTTGTCATGGTTCTACAGAGTAATATTTTTGTGTATATATGGGAATAATTTGTCATTAAATTTTCTATTTCTTTTTCCGAAGTAAGATTATTTGCTTCAGCTTCTTGATAATCGCCGTTCATCACTCCTTGATAATTTTGGAATTTAAGACTTGTTCTACATTCTAAACTTCCCCGTTTGGGTGGAGGTTTATTGTAGTTAAGTTGGTCAGAAATTCCTGAACTTCATCATCTGTATTGTGTATACTCTTCAAAAAAATCTCAATATTATTGATTAATGTGAGTAAATGACTCTAAATCAGAAACTCAAATGGTTCATTACCAAATGATTGCCACATAAAAAAAAGAAAAAAAAGTCCATTAATTTTTCTTTTCAAGGGTGGTAAAAATTAACTAAATGCCAATAATAAGGGAATAATTCGAAGATATAATGAGAAGAATGACACAAAACAATACTAGTATAAGGACCATAATGATAGTAGTCAACCATTTTTCACACTACAAATCCCCTGCTCCTGCTGCTTCTGCTTAAACACTGACAGGCGTACATGGTGGTTTCTGTTATTTTCAGATGGCAAGTCAACACTTCAATCGTCAAACAGTAAACAACAAAACAACTCCGAGAGTAATGCACCTGATCTGTTCAAATGGTCATTACTTCATCAACATTTAAGACCTATACGCTACAACTAAACTCTGGATTTCCAGTCCTGGAAGAAGGGTCCTCCTAAGCTACTAAACAGAATTGGCCAATATTATAGAAAAAACTAGCCGCTTCTGGAACTCTAATAATTAAACCACATTATTTCTGCAACTATCACACTGAAACTCGAAGAGAGAAGCTACTAACACTTATTTTTATACATAAATAGCCAGCGCAAATTGTTGGGCTGAAATCAATTCACGAGTTGAGACTCAATCTTCACGTCCCTGTGGGTGTAAACAACACCTTTATCTCCATCCACGGTTTGCCCACTTCCCCTGAGAATCCTGCAAATTTAAGTACAATGCTGATATTAACTTGCCTAGATATTGACATGTCATGTGCGGAAATGGAAGTATTGTATGTGGACAAATATTCAATTACTCAGAAGACTATGATTTGTTCATACCATCTGGTCGTTAACAGTCCTTCAACTCCTACTGGACCCCGGGCATGGATCCGACTTGTGCTAATTCCAACCTGTTACAAACAATGGATGTGTAAAAAGAAAGCAACAAACTTAATCGTATTGCTATCTGACAATTATAGGAGCATTTCGAACCTCAGCACCTAGACCAAATCGAGCCCCATCACTAAATCTTGTGCTCGCGTTATGGAAGACAGCAGCACTGCCATTAGAACATAGCAAACAGCATAAATAGGCCATCCAGGTTAAGGCACCATTATTCAATACAACCTGTCTCTCACGCACAGAGTTCTAATAAAACGAAAAGGTCATAAATGAATGGATGAAGCTGGAAGAATGCTAAATAAGGTTAACAGAAACACTTACCTGTCAACTTGACGTATGAAAACTTCAGCAACTTCATGATCTTCCGTAACAATACAATCAGTGTGTCCACTGCCAGTTTACAGGAGAAAAAAAACCCTTTTAATGAGCAACAGAAGTATTGATCAATAGACACAAAATGCATGCACGCCTTCAAAACATATATGAATAAAGATAATTCGCAATTTGAAATGCTCTTTCATCAAGAAAAATATTAGCATACCTTCCATGTTGATGTATATGATCGATAGCAGCAAAGACATCGTCCACAATTTCAAGAGTACATGCCAATGAATTGTATTCATGATGAAACGTCCCTGCCTCAGGAATATTCAACAGGGAGCTCGACCTTGGTCCACCATTCAAAATAACACCTGGAAAGAGACAATTAACTACTTTTTTAATTTATAGATGTCAAGTATTCCTAGAGTATCGAAGGTAAAATTGATCTGTAGATGTTGAACTTAAGCCATCTATTTTCATCACTAAAACTCGTTTTCCTTTTGTTCTTTAAAGGATAAATAAGTGTTGGTTAGGATTGTGCACTAATAACTTTAGCACCACCACTATGATGGATTTAGCGACCAAACGCATAAAAGAGTCTGCACTGCAGAAATTGGCAAGGAGGCAAGTCTAATACATGCATTCTGATGAAGGAGGCAAGTCTGACCTTCAATGCGGAGATTTACAACAAGCTCATTCAGCCCACCCGTGTGGACTAAGTCCTGGTGAACAAGAAGTGTTTCCTGCATTAAAGAAATAAGAGAATCAAAACAGAATCCAAATCAGGAATAAGAAGAAAAAAACGTAGTTACAAGATAATCACCCAATTAAGTGGAGATGGAATAAAGTAAAGTTAATTGATGAATGATATACCATTGCATTACAGGCTGCTGGGTAATCTATTTTTGCATCCAGTACAATTCTCTTTGCCATTTCCAAATCAGCAGACTTATCAACATAAACATGGCAGATTCCATCTGTGACATGAAAAGAGCACATGTTTTTACGAACATGTCTTGTTTCATGAAAATAAAAAAGAAAGTAAAAGAAATATATTGTATTAGAATGGTCGATCCAATCCACATTACCAGCGTGACCAAGAACAGGAATTTTGGTGGAATTCTTAATTTGAGAAACCAGTTTGTTGCTACCTCTTGGGATCACCAAATCAATAACATCATCCAACTGCCATTATCGACAATTAATCACTTCAACTGAAGTATATTGCTTACTTTCTACTGAACTGAAGTATACTATTATCACATATTATTATCATTCCAATGGGGAAGCAACAATTTTTTTTCAATTACCTCATCTTCACTTTCAGGATTTTTACTTAACAAAATTAGTATATTTATTTTTAATTCTTCTCATCATATGGACTTATTAATTTTTCACAATTTTTCAATAACGATCCACAAAAAATTTAAAGTCAATGCTTTACAATAATAAATGATAAGACAATGGAAGAACAAAAGAAATTATGAAATAGAAAGAAAATTGTCAGGACTAAACTAGGAAAACTTGTAAGATATGACATCTGAGGTACGTCCTCAAAAGTATTTTACTCTCTATTTACCCTATGACCACGAGTAAAACTCAAGGTCACGAAAACGAACAATTCAAGAAGGGTATTCAACCAAATGTACCTTTAGTAGATCGGGTATTTCCTCCCTTGAAGTTACAAGTCCAATTATGGTCCCGCCAACACTATCTGGAATGGCTTCCGTGATAACCTATATATAGCAAAAAGAAAAGTGAACTGATGTGCCAATGCCATTTTAATTTGATCATGAAGGAAATATGATACCTTGTGCAATATAGCATTTGATCGCCTTGCTTCCTTTCCCCCTTTTAAGAGAAGACCATTTCCGCTACGAATTGCTAATGAAGCTATCTATATAAATCACAAACCCAAGGGGGTTAATATTAAAGGAAAAATTCATCATTGTGAACACTCAATGGAGACAACTCTAAGATTCTCCACAAGCAATTTATGCTAACCTGTACCAGAGCATCTGGACGAGATTCAAACACAATCAATAGAACACCCAACGGAGACGATGTTTTTTCAAGAATTAGTCCATCTGAAACCTGAATGCAACAACCACCATCTCAAGTTGGGGAAAAATTGAATGCCAGCAAAAAATTCAGGCATTCTGAATTATTGAAACGGTACTACTTATCAACCATCTAACTAGAGTCAAAAGAATATTTTCCACTACTTTGAATCACAATTACACAAAAGTCCATAATTTGTTACCTCAGTCTTCTTCAAAACATGACCAATTGGATCTTCCATGTTTGCAAGTGTACGGATGGAGTTGGCAAGACTGGATATCTGTTCACATATACAATTAGTATCACTATTCACCTAGAAAAGACAGGCTTTGAGACTTCACAAGGCAGTATCTAATGTAAATAATTGAGTAAATGTGTGTAATCAGTGCTATGGAAATTGTTCTTAAAAAAAATCATGCAATGATGTCTTGCCTTTCCAGGTTTCAGTGCCAGTCGTGATACTAGGGCCTTTTCATATCCAGTCTGTTGAGCTTCAGCAACATCAGCTTCATTTTCAGCACTGATCAGTTTTTCATTTGCTTCAAGGGCATCAGCTATATCCAGCAAAATTTTTCTTCTCTCTTGAGAAGAGATTGCCTAAGGAATATAAACTACGTATAAAAAATCATGCTAACTTGGCATACAAAGCAATGGGCAATTACCTGCAGCCTTCTTGAACTTTCTCTTGCTGCAACAGCCATATCACGAGCACCAACATCCTTTTGGGGCTCCCACAAATGAGCATCTTGATGGAAGAGGGTACCGATGCGATCACCTTTGAGGACCTTGAGGATATTTGCAGGAGCGTATCCGCTTCAAATGATTATGGAAAAAACCGTTTCAAATTGAATCAATATTCATGTTAAATAAAAGAAAAAGAAATCTGAATGGAAAACCTATTCCTCCCAGGCTACATTCGGTTTCAAAGAAACACGATTTTGTAAACTAGGAAGCATTTCATCCCTTTTCACAAGGGCATGTGAAATAACATTTTTTATTTTTTTCGACCGCACTCTGAGATAACCTGCCACTATCTAAAGTATGAAATGGAAAACATGGGATGGGTTAAATCTAGCAGTTCCCCCCCCTAATTGGATAGTATAGTGCATAATATTTGTGGAATGATTATATTAGACACGGAGAAAAGGAAGGGAGATTTCTGAGGCACTCATAAATGAAGCATACCTAGTGATAATAACAGGAATGCCAGCATATGCAGCACCAGTAGCAGCTTTAACTTTAGCAGTCATACCACCTCTTCCCACTCTAGACTTGTCTCCAAAGGTAATTTCACCTTGGTGGCGTTCCTTAACATATGTATGGATTAACTTTGAGTGAGGGTCACTTGGAGGTCCACTATATAGACCGTCTACATCGCTTAACAAAACAAGGAGATCAGCTTTTAGCTCCAAAGCTAAAAGTGCTGCCAAACTGTCATTGTCCCAGAATATACCAGAAGAATCCTGAGAAGAGTTGCCAAAAAAAAAATAGTGACATAAGTGAAAAAGATATCGGAAAGAAAATAATAAATCCATTTTGTTTGAATTAATAAAGAGGCTTTCAATTACTTTTCACAATCACAAAGAACTACTATTCAAAACTACTATTCAAAACTACCATTCCCAAAGCAGATCAAAAGAATGGCTAAAGAGCAAGAATCAAACCTCATACGGAGCTTTCCTGGTGCTGACTGCATCATTCTCATTGAAGATAGGAATAACCTTAAGAGAAAGTAATGATTTCACTGTATCACTAAGTTGACTTCTAAAACCTTTATCCCTAAAATCATTATCTGTAACCAGAAGCTGAGCAGATGTAACATCCAGCTGCAAAAACATTAAAAAGAATTAAGTCAAACGAGTGCATTTATTGACAAGCCTTAAAATTGTCAAGTAATAACGAAAGCACATGTCATATAAGGGTCTATGAAATAATGACTGGTAAGGGGTGAAAAAAGAAGAAAAAAAGAAAGGATTACAACTGAGATAACACAGTAGCAACCCAATAGCAATCTGCCAGAGGTAAACAAATAAGTTAATGAGCTAGAAGCAATTCTTGTGTTAAAAATTAAAAATTAAAAATAAATTAAGAGCGGTCACCTGACTAAATAATGTGTCATAGAGAGCCATAAGACTGTTTTGACCAACAGCTGCGCATGCCTTACCATCAAGATCAACTTGAGGTTTTTGAAGGTCAGCAAAACTACATTATTCACAGTACAATCTTAGAATATCCTTTTTTTTTCCAAGCAAAAGTGATCAAAACTTTCATTGATTTCAGGACTCCGTAAAATTTCATTGTCCCCCTAATCAATTTAGGGGCAACGTATCTGGCAAAAAATTACCTGCTATTAACAAGCTGCCTATATCGAAGCCTTTGACGACCAATACCAACAGCACCAGATGAAACCAAAATAACCTCAAATTCTTGTGAGTTCAATTCCTTGATCTGCATTTCAGATCGAAAAAAAAAAAAAAAAAACTAAGCGACTCCAACCAGAAGCTGATAAGGAAAGGAAAAAAACAAAAGTCTCCAACCACTATAAACTTGTAGAAGACTTGATTTATGAATGCCTGGTAAATACCTGCTCGCACAATGCTCCTAGTCTGCCTAAGGCTAATCTTCCATCACTTCGCGTTACCACCGCCGTCCCAACCTTGAATGGCAAAAGCACGACATCCAATGGTGGGTAAGTCAATTAAATTATCAACGGTTTCTCTTCCGGTAGGAAGAATTGAGAAATTCCACAGAAAGCGAATCGAATCGGCAAAAATGCACAGAAATGGGCATTCAGTCGTAAACATTTAATAATCCATCCATCCATCCAAATCGAATAATAATGTATGATACAAAAGGCATCAGAATTTAAAACTAAGGCGTGGGCTTTCTCCATCCAATTGAAAACTGGAACTACAAATTCTAAGAAGAACAATGAAAACGTCCATCCAAAAAAATTCCAGTTCCAAATACACAGAACTGCCACGCGCTAAATTAAACCAATAGAAAAGAAGAACACCTGGAAATATTAAAATGTGGATAAAGGAAGATAAAAACTGAAGGTTTAACTTAGAGATACCTTGACAACAAGGCGCTTAACATCCCGAAGGAAAGCTCGAGAGCGATCCATGGAGTCCATAAGAACAGAGTAATGAGTCAACTCGACCGAGACACAAAACAACTCGGCAGGGTTTCGTTGGAAATACCAATATATCTGAGCGGGGGCAGTTATATATATATAGAAGGGAAATGGTAGGCGGAAGTGCGGAATCGGAACCGGGGTTTTTACTCGATTCTCGGATTATATTCGAACCGTTTTCCAGTGACCAATGCAATTCCACACTCATATTGTTCTTTATTGGCTGCATGTTTCTTCGTCACAGAATCAGGATTGCGTAGGGCCTCCCAAAGACTTGTCACCATCCAATTTTTTTACGCACAGTTTTTGAGAAGACGAAAAAACTTACAACTTTTACTGAAGACTGGCGGACATTTGGCGACTCCTCATTGAACTTCAAAACGGCGACAACAAGGCTCGACCGTAGAGGATTTCGCGTTTCTCTGAACATGCCTGGAGAGTCGCAATCCAAAACTAAAATTAATAAATAAAGAGAAAAGGAGTGTTAAATTAAAAGACGTAAGATTCAATGGCTGGTCCCAAAGCCGAAGGGTTAAGCCCCCAGATCCAGGCTGCTGCTGCTTGGGCTCTGGCTCTGGCTCTGGCTCATAAAGGTCAAGAATAAAGAATTAATTAGCCCATGGAGTGGAGCATAATCTTTTAGATCCATCTCAACATATTTTATTTTTAAAACATTTTCTAGTGGTTTTTTTAACCTGTTTTTGTCAGGTGCTGGTTAACAGAAATCTGCCCAATCCACAGCTCCCACGCAGCTGCCTGCGCTCATCTATGGAAATCTTGCCCCAATGGTTTGCTATCTGCCGTCAGTAAATGACTGTTGATGGATTGGCGTAAAACCAGTCTTGAGATAGAGGCATATTTTTGCTAGTTGTATTTAAATTCAATCAATCGCATTACATCAGTGATCACAAGTACATTCTCCCACATCTATTTACAATGACGTCTGTGTTTTAGTGGAATACTAAGATGAAAATTTATAATCAAAGAAAGATAAACAGATTCCGCTCTCCTCAAACAATATTCATAAAGAGGGAAGCCTATCTGCGCACTCTGCAAACAATACCGTGAGCATGTTAGAGATTGTTGTTATGATAAAACAATCACTTCTAATCACAAAAACTATGACCGTCGACGTCGTTTTCTGTTGACCGCTTCTGTGATTCATCACACAAGTTAAGAGGCAAAGAACTAACAACACCAATCAAGAGGGAATCGTTCCTTAGTTAAGAGGTCAGCACTCAGAAACGAAGCAAAGATAGATGGTCTGATGACAGCAACAAACTGAGAGAGTCTGCTCAAGGAAAGAACCACACTTTGATGAAGATTGCCAAGGCCATTTGCAAGAAAAATGCAGCAACTATCAGAACCGAAAGATCATTTCCGTCGATATAGGACCTCAAGTTCAAAGTAACGAAACTTGCTGAGGCAGCACCAGAAAGGAGTATAATGAACCATCGCAGAATTTCAACCGGGATGAGCAACGGAAACTGGAAAAGAAATGAGATGTAAGAACCATGCAGTTATATTGCCCATAAAATGGATCGTTGCGCTAATAAAACTCATTCAAGTCCTCTGAAAATGAAAACATCTAGTCTAAGGCAACAGTATTCTTTAGTAGACGTTTCTTTCTTCTTGCATGCTCGTTACAATATCTACTAAGCTATGAAAACCAGAAATTCAAAACATATGAAAATAAATGAAGTAAAAAAGAAACTGAAGTGCCAAAGTAAGGAAATTGTAAAGGTATATAAAAAAATTCAAATTCTGCAGTCATGTATGAAATTATGTTGAATGGATAAAAGAGAACAGAACTGCAGCGAAGATTCCAGATGCTTACAGATGCCAGAATAAAAATGAACAGAGAGTATCCCCACAAGCACCAAAATCTTATGAGGTTAGAATTTGACCCCAAGTACTGAAGCGAAAAGTAAAATGCCGTGGGCACCACAATCGCATAACCATAAACAGACCCTGCCGCCACATTCACATAGCTGACATCAAAGCTCCATGCAGCTCCGTGATCACTTTGTTTTTGCATGAGGAAGGTCGCGCAGTTTCCAAGTGCCGCAAGGACAAAGACCAATGTAGTGGTGACCCAAACAAGCCCATATCTAAGTCATAGCAAAATTGAATAAAAAGGAGTTTGATAATCCATTTAGTTTAAAAAACAAGATATCCATATAGATTCTTGAATGAACAGATAGAGGCGCATAAATTTGAAAAAGAAAAAAGACACCAAAAGGTAGGCATTCAAAATCTCATAGATAATACCATAGCCATCAGAGAAACAGAGAAATTATTAAGGTTAAGAGAGGGAGAAAAAAAAAAAAAAAAAAACTTACAGGTCAGGGTTTGCATCGATCTTGCTAGAAAAATCTCCACCAATGGGATACAAGGAACTAATCAATCTATTCATGACAGTGTCTGTATCCACATTGAAATATTGAGTGTAAGATGATACACTAAACATCCCCTTCCAGTTACTTGATGGTTGCGGCTGAGGATCTGCACATAAATAAATGTTGTCAATTGTATGGTTCACCAAAAGAAAAGAATCAACCACATATAAAAATGCATGTTTGATATAAATTGGATCTTAAGGAGCCTTATAACATGGCAGTTTATTTTCTTGGAACAGGTTTTACTTTCTAATATCACAAAACCTGCTATCTTTTCTGTGTCTAGGGGGGTTTGAAACTAAAAGGTGGCTTCAACCTTCAATAACCAAGCATTTTAAAAAACTTTTGGATTAGGTCCAGGAGCCTTGTTCTGCAGTAATAAATAAATGTCAAAACATCTAGTAGTCACGGTATACAACATTTTTACTCGATAATCAAAAGATAACACGAAAGGAAAATCTCAGTTACAAAGGCAATGATTAATAAGTTGAAACAATAAAAAACACATCTCAATCCCATATAAGTTAGTGTTTTGCTTTCAGTATGTCCAGAACCAGCTAGAAGAGGAAATAAATTAATTAGATCAAACAAAGAACCACTTGTACATGGGAAAAAATGTCATATTAAATAGTTAGAAGACCTATAATAGTAAATATAAAAACCCTAGTTGACAGAAGCAATGGAAAATCAGAACAATGATCTCTAATCATTATTTTCACTAATTGCACTCCTATCATAACACTATCCTATAGCCTATCGGGAGTACATGACAAGCATTACCACTTGGACTTTCAAGAGTTTGATAACCTCTCCCTCTGTCCCCTCCATAAGTTGGAGGGAATGTCTGCATACTTGCTTCTGGTGCTGCATATAATTAAGAAGCCATCCTCAGAGATAAATATGTGACATGAAACAGTGAAATAGATCAATTTTTTGAGTGCGACTTATTAATGAAACAGAAAGTGAAATAAGATTACTAAGAAGGTACTGGAATCTGTTCTTACTTTTATGGTCTGTGCCGTCTTTCTCTTCATTGATTACAGCCTATTGATCCACCAAAAAAAGGATACATAAAAATATGTAGACAAAGGAGCTTTGAAAACCAAGACAGGGATAAAGAAAGTCATAAATTTCAAACTCCAAACAGAACATGATAACATTTAAACACACATAGATTCAAGGTGCAACCAAAAAATAATTACAAATAATCCAACATACAAAAAGACAATAGCATATTAGGAACCGCAGCTAAAACTTGCATTACTTGGTATCAGAGGAGTGCTATCGTTGATTATAAAGCATAAAATAGGGGTAACATTGAATCTCCCTTCTCACCAAAACGCATTTTTAACCTTCTAAATCCAGGAGGAACAAAATCTAGCCAGCTCTATATTTATTCAAGCTCTTCAAAAATCCAGCCCAGGAAAACTAGATGGCGGTTGAACATAGCCACTACAAACAAACACGCCAACTGCCAGATATATTGCAAGAGGCATCATTCAGAGACGCAACAGGAAGTGACAAGCATATTTCCCTACTAAATAAAATAGATACTGCGCTCATATTCAATAACTATTCATGAATGTTCATTATTTAGGTGCTACCAACGGCGGAAAATATCGAAGTTAACAATAATTTCCTGATAAGACTCCATACTAATTAGCAAAGAAAAACCTCGGTGGCCCCAAACGAATAGTCTTCCATTTTCCGTTTACTTGCGATGAATTCTCAAAAGAAGCATAACAACATACACGCGGGAAGCAACCAAACCAAGCACTTTCCAGCTTATTCATTATATTAAAATGCAAGTAAACAAAAAAAAAAAAAAAATGTAATGAAAAAATCGCAACCGATCACATTGCGAAGCAGATCAATCATCGCGAAGAATGACCCAGACATTCAATACTTCCCAAGACAAATAGCATCAATCAAAGGTCAACTTAAGAAGTAGATAAAATAAAAGAAGCAAGCAAAGGAGTCTGGAAAGTGCGTACAGGGACTGAGCCAAGCAAATGGCTAGTGGGGAGATTTATGTAAGTCTCGTCCATGGAGAAAGCAATGAAGCACCAAAAGAAGAAAACGGCGAAATACCGAAAGGAAGAGGAAAAGTGAAACTGTTAGGTGGCCTCAGAAATTCATCGAAGGTACGAATCGACGGGAGATTGACTAAGATGGAATCCTCCGGCTTTGAGCCCTAATGTTGGTCGTTTCTTCGCTTGGAAGGACAACTCACGGAGACACGGTCACAGAGGACAGTGACGGCACCTGTGCGACGTTGAAGATGGACTTTGCACAGTGGATCATGCATAAACCACGTGCCATCTTTTGCCGCCGATCGGGTGCACGTTTGAGAACCCTTTACACACGTTCTGGAACAAATGGGCTGGAAATGGGCCCGCAGCGTTATAATGACCCTCCTTGGGAAAATGAAATTGCAAAACAAAAAGAATTGAGGCGGGTGAAGAATATTGCCTGAGCCCGGGTTCGAACCGGGGACTTCTAGTGTGTGAGACTAATGTGATATCCAAGTACACCATTCAATTCCACCAAATAAAATACATTAAATAAATTTGTCGTTCTAAAATAAAATTAGATAAGTGATTTTGTCTGAGCCCAGATTCGAATCGCAGTGGGTTTATGAAATTTTAATTTTAAAGAATAAC